AATCCGAAGACACTGACCTTGTTGAACCACGGATCGTGGAGAATATCAGCACCGCGCTTGTGCACGATGCACGGGCCAGGTATGGCAGTGGAGAGCCGCCTCGATCCGCGCAGGCCCGACGCCGCGACCCGCGCGAAGTTCCACATCCCTCTGGCCCTAAGGAAAAAGCACGCACGGCTCCCGATCGCCGGAGAAACGACCAGGAAGCAGAGATCCAGAGGACGACGGCGATGGCGGCGGCGGCGGCGGCGGAGGAGCTGGTCCGAATCTTCACGCCGATGACGCTAGTTCATCATCGTCTTCTGCACAGCAGCTTCAACGAGCGAAACGATGGAGATCAGTGTCCGAAACAGCGAAACTTGGGACTCTGTGAGAGAGACGCCAACGGTGAGTCGCGTCCGCTTCGTTGGTCAAGCCACTCCTTATATAGTCCGGTCTAAAAAAGAAACTTGTTTTTTTTTTTAAAATTAGATTTTTTCTGATTTGTTGGAGATTTTGGTATTGGTGTTCTGGCGGAAGTACGAAACAGTTTAAGCTGCTGAGAGACTGGAAAGCCTGCTGCCCGAATTTCCACGGGCAGGAGAGAGAGAGAGAGAGAGAGAGAGAGAGAGAGAGAGGATGTACGCGAGCATACTCAGCCTGGCCCAGGTCCGACCTAGAATTTGACTTTTGAAAAAATTCGGGCCTAGGGACGCAAATTGATTATTAAACTTTGACTCGATAAGCAATACGATTTTTGAACTTTTAAGTGATCCATGAACTATAAGTTAATGTACAATGTAATCCTGTGATCGCCGAACTTTTAGTACAAGTTTAATTTTTTAAGTTTCCGGAACTGAAACTGGATATGTACCAAAAGTCCGAGCATCACATTTTAAGGATCACATTGAACAAATTCAAGTTCGTGAACCACATTACATATTTGGCCGAAATTCGGAGATTATTTATGCCATTTTTCCTAAAAATCCATATTTTTGAATTATGACGTATTTCGTTAACGGGAATTCTAAAAAATCGAGAGCCTTATTTGATGGTTAAATGGACACATAAACAAAGTGGAATTAACCGAGTCCCGAAAAACTTTTGTTCTTTTTAAAAGTAAATAAATAAATAAAAGAAGAAGGATGTGGGGAAAAGTGGGGGTGCGGACGGCGAGGGAAGGTTTGCCCGAGGAGAGGTTCGGGCAGCGGGGGGAGTACAAAATGGGGGAAATCCTGCGCCGCGGGCGGACGACGATCGTGTGAGCGAACGGCGAGCCGCCACGTGGACCGTCCGGGGGGGGGGGGAGGTGGGAAGGCCAGCGGAGCATTTGGTGTCGCTTTCTGCCCCGCCCAATCCCGAAGATGGTTTCGGTCGCTCAGCCGTTCGATGCGCCACGTGTAAAAAACGTTGCGGATAATTATTAGGTTTTCCATAATTCCCTTTTTTTCTTTCCTTGTATTTTTTCTCTTTTTTTTTTGGTCGCTTTCTTGAATTTATTTTTTTTTGGGCAGAGAATACTTATTGCTCGAGCCGTGGCATTTGGGGGAAGAACTTAATGACTTAAATAGACCGGTGCTAATGTGAAATCGACATGCCAAAACGATATACACCAGTACGCCGAATAAAAAATATGTTTTCCGAGACGTTTCGGATCAACCAAAATCAAAGGCGTGACTATTATGATACAACTTGCGCGGATTAAAGAATATGATTATGGCAATCCCGGACCGACCTGCACTGATCATTTTGGTTGAAGGCAATTTTTGGCTGGATTGATGGGTTGATCTAATTAATAATATCCTTCTATTGATATTCGAAAGAAATTCATTTTTACGGTCTTTCATTGTACGCAAAGATACTAAATTCATCTGCCCAAGGTATTAAAAAGTAAGGAAGAAAAAATTAACTCCGCCTAATCAAGCGTAAGTTCCCGAGATGAAAATCAAGCGAGGATTAATTAGACGTTCGAGCATTTCAATTTTTATTCCCCTCCTTTTTTTTTTTTACCTAAAGTTGGGCCGTATCATGTCGTCCTTTATTTAATTTATTTATTTATGACTTTAGAGTTGAAGGAGCAGGCACGAGTTGGGGAGGCTCGCGTTCAAAGTCGTCGCGACGATGTGGAAGATTTGAACGCGCGGGGGGGGTGAGGGGACAAACATAAAGCTTTGGACGAGGAGACCTTTGTTGACCATTCCACAAAAAACCAATCACAAATGGGGGGAAAAGCCCGACCTTTAACTGGAGCAGGTCTTTTCTGGGGTAGCTGTAACACCTTCTTCTTCCTTTGAAGTCCCAAGAAAAGTGGAATCTTTTTACTAAACTTATTTTAATGGATCAGATCTAATTCTAAGTTCTAAGTTCCAAGTTCTAAGTTCTAAGTTCCTTCTCTAGCCCTCCACCCCTGGCGAATGGGAATACCCAGTAGACCTTGTGGCATATGCAGCATCGATTCTCCATCTTCTTCTTCTTCTTCTCATTTTCTAGAATGACGCTTCACACGCGGTGGCCCCGATTCCATCAATCCAAGCAAACACCATCTAGACTCGTGCTGCGGTATCAAGCTAATCGGGTTTAAGAATAAGCGGAAGGAAAAAAGGGGAAAAAAGTCGCGAAAAACTCCCAAAAAACTGTTTTTCGTGATATAAGAAACCTTAAACGAGGCCCACCGTGACACATTTGCCCCTGACTTTTTCTTGTGACATAAAAAACTACAAACTTGTACTTGTGTAACACATTTACCTTCCATCAAGTTCAGTTAGTTGATTTTTCACCAAAAATAACGTCGTTTTTATTTCGCTTAAGTCACGTGGTCCATGTAAACAAATTTTTAACAGTTCTCTTTGACAGAGGCTAAATGTGTCAGACAGCTATAAGTATGAGATTTTTTATGTCACGGAAAAAAGTTTAGAGTAAATATGCCGCAATGGGCATAGTTTAAGGTTTTTGATGGTTTTTACCTCCAAAAAAAAAAAGAAGGCTCCCAAGGATGGCTTCAAAGGACTTCCCTTTGCCGGGGGCTCGAATATACCATCTATGTTCCACGCAACGCACGTCGATGTCGGAGTCCCGGCCGGTTAACTCAATGATCTCAGCCAGCAGAGGCAAATACGGACCTAGAAGATTAGCTCGTTTGGCTGCCTCCTCTTCTAGGTGGTGTGCACATTCAGCAACCTTATGCTTCATTACCTGTTGTTATTCGACCCATTGGTTTTATGCGACAGATAGGTGGTCTAGGAACAAACTCATCGAATCAAAAAATAGAATCGCTCGAGAGTAATAATAATTGAGAATATTTGAATTGGTGCGATTCTATCTCGAGGGTGTGTAAGCAAACTTGGCAATATGCCCTCGGTTATTTTAAACCTCTCCTTCTTATTCCCCCCCTTTTTTCCCTTATTTTTGCATTTTTCGTCGGGGTGCAGTTTCGTTCATCCGATCTGTGGTTGGCCTTTTTTGGCTGTCCCAGAATATGGTGCTCCCCATTTTCCGCCACACAAAATTACCGGTGCCCAAGATTTATTAATTTAAAAAAAACAAATTAAAGCGGCTAATTATAATAACATTTCTGTCATAACGTAATATTATCTAAGGGTGATTGGTTCCCGGTCTAGTTCCCAGTACCAACCAGGGACCGGTCCAATGGAACCGATCACTTTTTTTATTTCCCTCTACTTGATAGCATCTGTTCGTGTTGAATCGAGTGATATGTTTGCAATGATCCTCAAATTGAAAAAAAAGAATAAAAAAAAACGTGCTTCACTTAGAGTTTAGTTCACATTTTACTAATTTTTTTGAAGAAATAAAAAAATAGTTTGGATCGGACCATTTTTTTAAAGCGCAAGATTGAGCGAGGGCAAGATAGATTAATTGAGTCTAAAATAGGTGTAAATTCATTTACAACCCATTTAACATCCACATTATGTTTCTACCCATTTACTAAGTATAACTAACCCATTTAACATCCAGTTATATATGGAAGCATTTTAGTAATATGAGTCGGGTCGAATCGAGTATGGATATGGGTCAAAACAGGCTAAATGAATTTATTTGGATCGAACCATTTTCAAATCGATCTTTCCGCATGACAGGTCTAGTCAATATTATCCTTCTAATGATTGGACATGCACCCCCATTGTTTTTTTAATCAAAGAAAAGAAGGCAGATATAAAACGAGGGACACAACCTCGAGCGGGCCCCCACAGGTACAGGCCACAATTATTTCGGACGGCATCACAATTTATGGAGCAAGTGCGAAATAATTCGACCGCGGGGCCCATCTTTTTGGACTCGGCGGGACGCGGCCACCGGACGAAACGACTTCTCGTTCCACAATGGCTGCTGCTCCGAATGGAAAAAAAGAGGGAGTCGTCGTCTCAAGATTAACACACCACGTTAGTTCTTCTGACCGACAACAAAGAAAACAAGAACACATCCATGTTAGCGACGCGAATATCAATCATGAACCCAAATTAATATAAACTAAATAAGATATTTAAATGAAAAGGGGAGAAGGGAACGGAGGTGGCTAATTTTCTCGTGAGAAAGAGGTGAGGAAGGGGATGAGTCGAACAGGGAGACGTGACATTTGCCACCGGCACAGTTCCTGAACATGGGACAAAGCAACCGAGCCCAACTTACGTTGTTGATTCACCCCGCGGTCCTCTAATTGGTGTCGAAGACACACTCGGAGCACTCGGACATCGTCAAGCGCTCTGGTCTTGGGGGCCAGTGGGTTCCTCCGAATTCGTCCGTGCTACGGAGATGGAAAAGGCTAGAGACAAAAAGAGGACCCAGATGGGAAATTAGGTAAAAGCTACATGTGAATGGCGAGTTCAGCTAAGGAACTGAGACGGGTAGAGGCGCTCAAGCAAGTAAAGGGGCAAGAGTCTTTCCAAGTTTTTATACAATATATAAAATTAGCTTGACAGGTATACTCAACAAGCACCAGTGGTCTAGTGGTAGAATAGTACCCTGCCACGGTACAGACCCGGGTTCGATTCCCGGCTGGTGCAGCTGAGCTGTGATGATGTCTGCGCTTCCGTGGCCCTTAGATTCAGTCACACTTCATCTGATCCTTCAGATGATACGTGAGCGCTTCTGAGCTCTTCTATTTTTCTTTTTTCTTTTTCTAAAATTTTTCTAACATTTCGACAATAATTCAGCTCTGACCAATTTTGTGAACGAAAAAATATTTTCCTTTATTTCATTTTTATAATCGAATTAAGTAATCATTTTCTTAACATATTTTTTAAAATATTTGTTTTTGCAAAACAAACATAGCCTAAATTCTTGCTCCTTTTCCGGATAATCACTCTTCCACCCCCTAATTTAAGCGCTTAGCTCTCATCTTCTTGTTTTTTTGTTCCGTCTTCAGCTTTGGTGAATTTTTGCTTTAGAGTCGCATCCTATGGAAACGTACCAACCCCACTTTTGACCAAAGGAAACCTAACCATCATCCATCACGCTCGCGCGCTAGCCCAACACAGTTCACATCCTAACCCTCAAATCATCGAAGATGCCCCACCCCCTCGAACCACTGAAGTTTGAGGTTCTGAACCGAGAACGCAAGAGCTGTAGATATTTTCAGCCAACTTTCGCCGCCAATATGGGAGAATACTCAGGTTAGCAAATACATATGATTGAGATGATCCTTTACAATTTACACAGGAAAGGATTCATCATAAACTGCCCAAGCCATATATAAATATGAACAGCATGACCAACAGGAGACCCTCCTAGGTGCTAACACGACCAAAGTAGCTCGTTAAGAATGCATGACTTAGAGCAGGAGCAACAGGAAAGCTCTCCTAAGTGCCGGAGCGCCTAGCATAAGCATGTCGACAAAGACGAGATCTTCAACCTTCTATCCCTAAAAAAACCTAAAATTCTTCACGCTACGTCGCTCCCACTCTGGTTCTGAGACTTTAGAATGTTGAACTTGCAGAGGGGGCAAATTGCATTAATGTACAGCCACTTGTCGATGCAACCGCAGTGGAAGTGGTGACGGCAGGGAAGTTCTCTCAACTCCGATCCATCTTCGTAAGCAGAGAGGCAGATGCAGCATTCCTTCAACAAAATAACATCGCCAACCGTTAATAGGAATCACAGTTTTATCATCAAGAATTAGACACTTTTTCCTTCCGCATTGCAGCTCAACTTAACAAACCAAAGAAAAATCTCCAAGCGCGTAAGAGATTTGGAAACAAAAGACTACGACCCCAACTTATGTAAGATGATAAAAGACAAAAAGCAACAATCCAAGCTCTTTTTGAAGGAGATATTGGATAAGCTAGGCTAAGTGAAGGGGATGGGAGGAGAAGCCACTGAGGCAGCTTTCACTGCGCTTGTGTGGTAATATACGATAATACGTCGTAGAATCAAGAGCTATAAAAAGAAATATGCAACAAATGACCTCTAATGCTTGACCTAGCAGGTTTTCAGGTTTTCAACGCATGGAAGCAAGTCCTCCAAATCTGATGACTAAGTAAGCACTAGATGAGAAGAATGGTCCCTCAATAATGGCAATCACAAAGAGATGACAAACAGCCAAATTAATGTGACTATAACAAAGTCTTACAGCATCCTCCTGCGATAGAACACGCTCAATAGTTGTGCTGCTGTCACATTCCGTCAGTATCCCTCCAGACGATGGCTGAGTTTCCTCATTAGCTTTGTCATAATCACCTAACCTGCGGAACTTGTACGTAGGCAACTGATTGATCTCCTCCTGTGTTGCTCCTTCCTGTTATAATGAAACAATTAAAAAAGCAAAGTATAAGTATGAGAACTACTAGTTTTCTGAAAAACCATTACTGCAAACTATCCCTTCATTCTAAGTACAGCTACATAAAAACTAGTCCGGGTGCATTTCATGCTCATATTCCAGCCAAGTTTGTGTTCTAAAGAAAGGAAGCGAACGCATATATATATATATATATATGGAGAGAGAGAGAGAGAGAGAGGAGATGCAAATCATCTTAAGCTGTGCTATAAGAACTTCTACAAACAAAACACAAACTTTTAGTTTAGTTAGACTGTTGCAGTAATGTTTTGCGCCATTCAAGTACACAAGGAGCAGCAAAACATTAAACATATGAAGTGTATCACCCAACCAAAAAGAAGATGAGGAATAGGAATACTGGGTTGGAGAATCAAGAAGAGGATACTGCCACTTGAGTTTTGATAAATTAATCGCCCTAAAGGACAGAAAATATTTGCAAATTCTTTTACCTGATCTGCCACAGCATACAGGATTGCGATTATACATGGGAGACAGCAGCATATTGCAATACCAATCAGGCACGCAATAGCAACGCAGATAACAACGAAAACCACATCAAACGCCAGAAATGATATACAGAGCCTGCAAACAGTAACAGTTAAAAGCACTCAAAGAGGAGAACATCTCATCATGGAAATAACGGGCAGAAAAAAAAGAGAAAGGAATCTAGGTTATCGTCCAAATTCGAACCAGTAGAGCTGAGGTGAATCGCGAATCAGGTCTTGGCCACCAGCAGTTACCCAGTAGAACCCGATTATCCACCAGATGAATGAAAACATTGTATTTGCAGACTCGAAATGCTTCGAGACGCTGTCAAGAAACCATCATGAGGAAGATGCCATGAGATTCAGATATTTTACAGGGCCACATAACTTGTGATGTGCAGTAAAACGGTGACGAGCGACTACACATTTTTCCCCATCCTTCTTTTGTGAATGACATAGCATCACTGCCGTGTAGGAAATGCCTTGAAACTAAACTCTCATAAGGATAGCCTTCTCTGGCAGTTCAACATTTATCATAGAATTTCAGACTTCAAATGAACTTGTTGGCAGAAAAAGAGTAACTATAGCTATGAATAAAAGCATGTGGAGAGACATTTCAAACACTTGGCACTGTGCAGAAATGCAAACAATGCAGCTGCCCTCAAATACATTTCAATCTCGATATCCGAAGCGCATCGCGAGTCTTGCAAGACAGAATTCTCTTCTGAGAATTTGGTCTTTTCCCCGTAAAGAGACCATTAACGCAGTAAAACTTCCGTTCGTAACTAATGCAAAATTGACAGGTGCGTGCTGGGCTACATCATCTGGTAATAACCAAACGAATTTTCCCCAATTGGAAAGAAACAAGGGGCACAAATTACAATATCAAGACAGCATCTGGAGCCCAAACACAAGAAAAAAAAAAAGAAAACACTGATAGACGATTGGCAAATACCTGGTTTCTTCGTCATCTCTGCTCTGATCATTCGCGTAATCGTCTGATTCGCCTCCGTCGCTCCCGGAACGGGAAGCTGTACTCAGGTAAGCATTCAAATCGCCAGGACCCCAGGCGCCGCTCCCACCCAATCCCGTGTACTCCACCTCCCTACGCCGCCGCTTGTACTCCCCAACGACGCACGCCACATGCAACAGGCACTGAAACGCGTACACAACAACCCACAGCCGCAGGGGCACCTCGGGCCTCTCGTTCCGGCTCAGCGCGACGACGCTAAGAGCGACGCCGACGAACGCGAGGTTCCAGAGGACGTCGAGGGCCACGATGGGCTTCGAGTATGCCCAGTCGCCCTGGCGCGTCTCCAGCTGCTCGGCGGCGTTCTCGCGGACCTGCATCGACGGCTCGCGGAGCATCATGCGCCGGCCGCTGGCCCGGCGCAGGAGCCGCGCCGCCGCGCCGCGGAGGGGCAGCACGGGGCGGCGCAGGAACCGCCGGCTGCGGAGGAGGTGGTCGGCCACGGAGTGCGAGAGGAGCGGGGTCGCGTCCACGGCGTCGCTCAGGGCGTTCCCGCGACGCTGCACCGGGGCCGTGGCCGTCGCGTGCATCGGAGGTCGATCGGCGTGGGGAGGGGGAGGGGGGAAGGATCGGCGAGGATTAGGGGAGCTGGCGAGGCCGGAAATTGAGCTCGCCCCGCGGCCGCGACCGGCGGAGAGGCACGCTCGGTTCACGCTATCGCAAGGGACGATCGGAGGGAAGGAGGGGAGGCCGATTCCGGCGAGATCGGCTTCCTGGTCGGAGCGGAGCGATTCGGGGGGGTGGAAGAGCTGAAGGTTCGTAGGGTTTCCGGGGGGGGATCGGATGAGGTGGAGAGAGAGTGAATTTGAATTCGAGGAAAATAATAAATTTTTGAGTTCTGTGGGGATTTGTTACTGCTGGGGATTCGACCAAAAAACGCAAAAGAAATTACTGTTGGGGTTAAAATTGCCTTTCGTCGCTCGCTGCCGCGGTGGTGGGGTCGTTTCCCGAAAGCGTGGGGGTCAAGCTTGTCAATGCGCTCGCTGTTGGTTACGTCCCACACGTGCGAAGCGGGGTTCATCCGGAATCGGAGGAGGAATTTTCCCGGGAAAATCACCGCCGCTCCTTCGTAAGAGAGCGGGTGATCCGTTATTTTTTACTCAGTGTTCACTGTTCGGTTAATCTCGAACTTCCAATTTGTTCCGATGTGGTCCATGAAATTTTGGCCTAACGTGCAATGTGATATTTGAATTTTCTATACTTGTTCAGTCTGATCTCCGGATTATATAAAAATGTTCAATATTATCCCTGTACTTAAATGGATAAAATTATACATTGAATTAAAGTTCAGAAATCGTATTAAATAAATTAAAAATTCATAAATTACATTGCACGTTGAATAGATATTTACATAAAAGGGAGAGAAGGAAGGACGAAACGACCGGTCGCACCGGGTCCGATCAGGTGGTGTGAATTAGGGGGGGACCCTAAACAGTGGAGAGAAAGTGCCAAGAGCTCCCTACAAACTCCAAATCAAATCATACCAACGTACGTACGGCCCCGAGCACGGTACACAAACACGACACCGGATAATTGCTGAGCCGTCCCGCCTCGTACCGTACACGTGTCCGCTCTTCTTCATCTTGCTTCCCGCCCAGTCACTTGAAAAATTTGGATTTCCCCAATTTTCGTTTTGCCCTTCTTTCCCAATATCCTTTCAATCCTGTACATGAGGAGATCGAATGGATCTAAGCATGGGGCATCAATCTTTCGCCTCAATCAGACATGACCTTCTCGGCCTTGGTAGCTGTCCTTATCGGTCTAGTGAAGTCGAAAAAGAATGCGATCGTTAGTGTTTTTCTAAAGGAAGGAATTTCGATGGAGGATGCGGGCCCTATGTGTTTCTTTTCCATGTGGCCGACACTGAGCTTATCGCGCAGAGCTTGAATAAATCATGCCACTATTAGTGTTATCAATCGATAACGCGTGTCGAAATACATGTCGGACGCACTAAGCGATTGCATCTACGTTACAAACTCACTCCCCAGAGCGCGCTGTATACAACAGCAAAACAATCACCAACAAAAAAATGCAAACCCAACCCCCCGATAAAAACAAAAAAGAAGGAAAAAAGAAAAGAAAAGAATTGGCACGGCGACGATTACGGTGATGAGCCTCGACGATTCCCTGTTTGAGGTTCCTGTAGAATGTGGCCGGGTTTCGTTCGGCAGCTCCACCTCCTCCAAGACTCTAACTTGAGCTCGATTTATGAGAAATTCCTAAGTTTGACAGCCTATCCACTAACTTGACTTCATTCCCAGAGTCGAAGCTGAAGGCTAAAAGAATGTTTGAACTTCGTACGTGTGAACAAGCATCCTGATGATGCAAAGATACGATCGGAGCTCAGTTCCTCGCGTGCTCAGGAATGAGGCGTCGACGCAGCTCGGAGGGTGCACCTGCCAATTCTGCAGTAGACTTGGGTATAAGCCATCTGGAATGAGGACCAGAATGGGAAAGAGCAACGTCACTATTTTTTCACTTTACCTTGAGCTGTGAAATCAAAGAGGGGTGGTAGGGCACGTCCATTGGGCAAGGTTGCATTCGGGTCCCTCAAATCATCAAAGAAAGGATGCGCACAGGCCTCCAACTGACATTACCAAGAGATGATAGTCAGCTTTCTAAGAAAATACTCTCTTCTCTACATGCATACCCATGCCAGACAGCAGGAACAAAATCTAAAAACTCGCTTTAAGCTGACGTTAAACGTATAGCCTGAAGTTTATTCTACACGTCTGAGAAAAACTTGCTATGATCATTTCACACATCTCGACGAGAAAAGCAGTTCCGTAGAAGGATCTCAGTCATGCTAGGTGAAGCCAAAAACTGGCTGACACTAAGCCCCAAGAAATCTAATGCAAGGATAGGAGGTTCAAAGCAGTTGCACATTGTAAGCAACTCATATCTAACTGATAATTGACTTCATTACAGACTTACAGCAGTGCAACGTAGATTTGGTGAATATTGGAGAAGCCTCGATACAAGATCCACTGCATCAGGAGGCAACCGCTTTTGAAAGACCTGTATCAGTTTCATAATTTTTTTCAGAAAAAGCAACTAATGATACCAAAAGGAAACTATCAACCCAGAGGTCATCGCTCTAATAACACTTAAAACAATACCTTGTGCCAAGGATGAGCTTTAATCTGAGGAAACTTGAATTCCGAATAATTTGGATTCATGCACTTAATTTCTTCCCTGGTAGGTGTCCCAAGAATCTAATAAAATTTGCAAATGGAGAGGAGGAAAATTAGTAACAAGGAAAAGTTTGAACCAAAGGTAATTACGTCATCATATTGAAAGGAAAGTACTTAAGTTGAAACCTTTATTATTTCCACAAGCTGATCAACACCACTCTCTCCAGGAAACAGTGGCTGCAGCAAGAAAACATAAGCAGACGTCAGATTGAGATTAAGAAGAACCAACATTCTAAGAAATTCAGCTTATGAGGTAGGTAAAACAAATTGTTTCCTAAGGAACTAGAAAACAAAGAAACTAAAGGCACGTTTTAGAAGAAACTATGGAACCAACCCCTACTTCAGTGAATTTCATTGAAATGCCATGAACAAGGCGGCTGCTGTGAATACATTTTATTACTTAATTTGGAAAAAGAGATGCTCACATGTCCCAGAAGAAGCTCGGCCAAGACACAACCAACAGACCACATATCAATTGCAATTGTATATTCTGAGGCCCCAAATATCAACTCTGGGGCCCTATAATACCGCGAGCATATATATGCTATATTGGGCTCTCCTGGGACCTACAAAAGTTAACTAAATCAAATTCGATCCCAATATATGATGGACTATTAAGTACTGATAGATAATGGACTTACCAACTTCTTTGCACTACCAAAGTCGCATATCTTCAACTGATGAGTGTGGGGATTGACCTGCGGCATTAAAGATAGAATCAGTACCTATATTTCAATGGAAAAAGAAAATATTGACAAAGTAAAACAAACAGGAGGAGCATCACAGCATTACACCAATGGATAATGTGTCCTCTTGTACGTACAGTCACATTTCATGCAAAATTATAGGATGATCTCAAACTTTGCAAAACAAGTGAATCATATCGGATAAGCATTTTCAATTGTACTATTTTAGCCAACTGATTCATGCAATCATGTGAAGATCAAATCACCATACTTCACTGTTAATGTATGCCTATCCCTCCCTCCCTCCCTCCCCTCCCTCCCCTTTTTCCTTCCCTTCATTCCCCACCATCTGCGTGTGAGCGTGTGACAGAAGGGCTGAGAGATAAATCTTACCAGTAGATTCTGAGGCTTGATGTCACGATGACACACACCAACCACGTTATGCAAGTAGTTTAATGCGCGACAGATCTGAATTGGAGAAAATCCAGAATATCAAAAAGGGTAACCCCAACCAGTACTACATACTGCAACATTGAAGAGCGTAACAAAGACTGAAAGTCAATTACTGCAACAACAGTTCACCTGGTATGCATACAGCTGCACAAAAATGATCGGCACGTGCTGGTTCATTCTAACATAATGCTTTGAAGCTCGATAGACAGTTTCAGAGATATACTCCAAAACAAGGTTGAGGTACACCTCATCTTTTTCAGTAGTTGAAAAGAAGCAGTGCTTCAGTTGGACGACATTAGGATGATCAAGTACGCGCATGATCTGAAGTTCTCTATTCTTATATCTCTTATCTTGCAACACCTTTTTAATGGCAACTGTCTCCGCCGTTTCTAAACACTTTGCCTGCATACCAAAAATCCGTAGGTCAGAAGAAAGACTCTACTTATTCAGAGTCGATTCGTATAGAAGTAGGCAACAAACCTGAAAGACAACACCAAACGAGCCAGTGCCTACTACACGCTCTGCCATATATGAGATAGTCTGCAACCCAAGTGTCAGAATTTGTTAAGAGACTTCTCATGCATGTTACATTTTGAAGAGAAAATCATACTTAAACATGCAATTTGTCAGCAAGCAAGACAACTCCTATTAAACATAAAAATAGTGGAAAGAGGGATGCACATGTATATCACGAAAACTTTTCATGTAGCAGTAAAAGAGAAAGCAGATGACAAACATACAGCATGTGAAATTTCCCAGGTTCAGTTGTTAATTAGATCTCCCCACCCACCCAATAAGTAAATTGTTAAAAATTTGACAAGTACTTTCTGTCAAACACGACAAAAACCTTTGGTGTCGGCTGAGGCAATTTTTACTTGATTCAATTCCTTGAACACTACATAGGATTCGCATGATAGCCATATCAACAGACATGCTTCATGAGGTTCACATTCATAAGACGCAATCCAGTGACAACACTGCAAAATGACAGCTATGCTGTACAACGAATAAAAGACACCTAACCTGTTTGGGTTGTCCATCTCGGCCACCAACTGTTGTTGTAATAATGTGGCCTGTTTCAGTTCCATGTCCGTTAACTACAGCTGGTTCAGAGTCCTAAAATTTGAAGCATAAATGAGGTTCAGAATCCATCATAAGAGAGCTATTCTTAAAAGAAGGGAACATATAATGCTCAGGATTATGTCAAATGCAATACTTTATCACTAACTCCTTAGAAGCAGATCATACCTTGTCATCATGAAATGCTTTGTCATCTTTAATTCTTGTCTCGTGCCCTCCTCTATGAATCTGATCATCACCAGGTTTAGAAACTGACGATTTACTGGAAGTGCTTGCAACAGCTTCCAGAGACGCGGAAGCCATGTGCTGCTCTAGACCTGTTGCACCTCTCTCAACAGAGTGCAAAAGCTGATCCACATTATCCCTGTGATGAGCTTCTTGATCAACCTTTACCCTTTTGGTACCAGAATCCCCACCCTGGAGTAAACAAAACAAATGTGTTTAAGAACTTAGAGTTCATAGAAAAAATATAGAGTCCTCAAAATTCTTGGCCACAAGCCACTTGGCCTAGTGGTTGTTGGGGGGGGTGACATGAGGTCAAGGGTTCGTACACAAATCAAATAGAAGGAAAAATAACACGAGTCTTGGATGCATAATTGCATAGCTGAAACCATATAAGATTCATCACAAGTTGAAAGGAAAATAAGCTTCTCATACAAAGAGCGGATTTAGGGTGTATAAGTTGAACAGCACAATTTCAGAAACAATCAAGCCAAGAAGGATCCAAACTAAGTTTAGAAGATCATGACAGTCAACAAAACAACCAAAGTTCCATACACAATGAGCTTAATCAAGTGTTGCTCTAGAATTCCTCAATGAAACAATAGGAATTTCTTTCATTCAATATTATCTAAGTGAACTAATCTGGCACGATTGAGATATGATTATCATACGTTGACTTCATATGATACTTTAAAAAGCCAGCGATGATGTTCACATTCAAACAAAACTGGGCAGAAGGTTCTGCTGCCTCAGGTTTATTGGATCAACTCCTACGAAACACACAGCCATTCGCATATCGCATTAGGTACTACCAGCAGCAGATTTTCCATAGTCTTAGAGTTCTTGTTAAAAAAATTCAAAACTGTACAAGAACATATTCTAACTGGCTTACCGATTGTCCAAAAAAGAAACAGACAAATTTGACTTTGACCATCGGCCTACCAACTACAGCCAATGCCTTTCAGAGAAGCCAAACACCAACATACAGGTCACCATCATGACTAATCACTACTACTCATTTGTTAATCGCCTAACATTGTTTTTGCTGAACGTCAAGGTTTGCAAAGCAAATCCGCTTAAAAGACAAACCACAAGAATGAACAAGAAAGAACAAGAAGAAGAAGAAGAAGAAGACGAGCTCCATGAATCGTCAGAGAAATAAATCAAGGGGAGAAACAAGAAAAAAGACATCCGCAGCATCAATCAGCCTTACATGTTTCCCAAATAATTGCAGAAATGTTCCCAAATCAACGCAATCCAACCAAGTCCTAGGCCAAAAATACTACCTTACAACCTTGAATTCACAACGTTCTCCACGTACTTTCATATACAGCCACCCGACGAACTTAAAAAGAAAAAAGAAAAAAAAACCGCGTCTTTTCGACGAAAAATGACCCATATGATTATCGAATCAAAGGAAAAAGAAACGTCGATCCGCGCCCAAAGCGTCGGCTAGGAAATGATCAGACGGCGAACGAAAAAGCAATCGATCGAGCTAAGAAAAAAAACCATCTTCCCAAATGAACACAAGCTTGGCCAGGCACACGAAAACCTAATTACAGGAGCCCCGAAAGCAGCTACCAACGCCCGAAACCGACGGCACCGAGACGACATCCCCCCGGAGCAAAAATGAGGGAAAATCCGGAGCTACCGACAGCCAATAGGAACCCCCAAACGGAAAGTCCGATTCGGAAACTCACGGGTTCAGAGGAAATGGAGGTGCGGCCCGACGCGATGCTCTTGATCCGGCGCATCATATTCATCGCCGCCGCCGCCGCCGCCGGGATCCCGAAACGGGGACCGCCGCCCAACAAAATCCAACCGGCCGCTCGGTCAAGAAGGGAACCGGCGGAAAGCGAATAAGGGCGCGGGGGCGGAGGAATGTCTCCCCGGGCGAGGAAGAAGGAAGGGAGAAAAGACGCGAAGACGCGCGCGCGCGCGCGAGACCGCTTTCCCACTCCTCCCGCTCCTCCGCTTCCTCCTCGTCCTGCTCCTCCTCCTCGTCCTCCTCCTCCACACGCTCTTCCTCTCGTTCTCTGCTGGCAAACAGGAACGGATCGAACCCTGTATACCGCACGCCGAAAATCTCTCTTCCGTCTCTCTCTCTCTCTCTCCCTGCGGATGCGTTGCCGTTTTCTTATTTTCCTCCGATTTATCTCCCTTTTTTTTTTTTCCCTAAAATGAGTTTTCGAATTCTTGGCCTGCCTGCCTGCGTTCGGTCAAACTTTGACCGAGCGAACCCCCGCCCCGCCCACCCAAATCATGCCAGCTTCAAAAATTTCCTGTCGTACGTCAGTCAAACTTGGATGCCTGGTCGTCCGTCCCTCATCATGGCCCCCCCGCCCCCCCCAGCCAATCCGACGGCCGGGACCCGAGGGCCCCCCGGCGCTTTTACCAGAATGTCCCTCCCGGGAGCACAATTTCACGATTTCCGTATTCCTCTCCCCCCCCGCCGCTATCTTTTTTTGTCCTATTTCGCGAAAGATCAACAATTTGAAAATCATTTTCCTAATTTTTAATCACTAACGGGGCGTACAAAAAAATTGAGCTGATAAAAAATGTCTTTGGTCTTAACGGCAATACGAACCTAAATATTTTTCATGATGACGACAGTATTTTCCATTGCCTCTTTTTTTAATAGATATAAACGATCAAATTAGGAAAATATTTTTTACAAATCATTGACTCTTCACGAAATAAATAAACGAAGCATAAATAAAAAAAATTGAATTTCAATGAATCATAACTTAAAATCTCGAGATTACTCCGGAGTTTATCGTCTATCTAATTTAAAGTTGAAATCTTTTTTTTTTTTTAATAGCGAAGTGTTTTGAATCGAATTCTGTCGTGGTTTAATTTCTGAAATTTTTTTTTTTAAATTTTTGTTGCTACATAAAGAGCGAACATCCGGAAAATATAATAAATATTTGGGTATGCCCTGAAGGATTCCCGGAATATTCGGGATTTGACTGTCTCGTTGACGTTTTCTTCTTGCTCTTTTTTTTTTAATAATAAATTCGCTAAGCAAATATTTTAAAGCCCGAAAGATTAAATTAAGGCATTTTGTGTCGCGAATTGCGCCGTATAGCGTCTCTCGTTGCGGAGCCACGCCAGATTCAAGACCGACTTTTGTTTTCTTATTAGCGTCCTTATCTTCTTACACCTTATTAATGTAATGAATTCAAATGTGGAAAACAAAAAAACACGTTACCCATTATTTGGAATATAGTTTTCTTTGGGTCCGATGAAAACGAGATAAATATTTTTTTGGTCGGGAAAACGAGGTAAATTGAAGCGCTTCGCTTTAATCAGCGCAAATTGAAACGAGATAAATTGAAACGCTTGGTCTTCATATAACAGGTTATTGCATAAATTATCAGTGGCCAAGAGTGCCTTATTTTAAATTCGGGTCTATGCCACCAAAAATCACAAAATAATACTACACATGCCACACTTACCACTAACTAATTTTGGTTTCGCAAAAAAAAAATCACAAATTGGTGCGCACGTGCCATAGTTACCCCAAATTAATTTTCGTGTCGCAAAAAAATCCAAGATGAAAAATTGGGGTAAAATTAGAAATCTTAGCTGATTTTCAAGCATAAGGGAGCTCTTAAGGCAAAATTAGCAATCTTTAGCATACATCCTAATGCCAGTTCATTTTCTACATATATGGTTTCTCCAAAACAACGTCGTTTTTAGATATCCATCCATGTTGAATTTCCGCCGCATCATATCCACGTCACACGCCTATCATCCGAGTTATTTGCCACGTGTCTTCTCGCATTTGCAATTTAACATGGATCTTGGAAAGGAATCTAGCGGAGCGTAAAATTATCTCGAGTGTATCCATTTGAGATTTTCTATGACACGAAAATCAATTTGGAGGTAAACATGAAATGGGACTACCGGTATGAGATTTTTTTGCGACGCGAAAATTAGTTTGGAGATAAATGCGACAGGAGCATACCGGTTCGGGATTTACGGGGGTATTGATCTTTTAATATATCTGCGTAGAGTTTCGTAGGTTTGAAAAGTAAAGGACCTTGGTCAATTTTTCTGGGCTAAGATTAAGGTTGAAAGTGTGATGATCTGTCTAGAAATTTCACGTGGAAGGACCTTATAAACTCGTCATTTAAATACCATTTTTTCTGACTAATTTTACCTTTCTCCGACGATGAAGAGCGTGGCGAATACAGCTTTTTGACGACAACCCAAAAACAAGCCAGCTCCGTCAACTTACGTCAGAGGGTTATCTGGAGAGCGATGCTTAAATGACGTTCTTAATTGCTCGAAAAATAAATTTTAAAAAATTTGTTAATAAAATTGTTTGTTTATTTAATTAATTTTATTTGGTAAAGGGTTTGTTCGGGAGCGGGTGGACCGGGACCCAAGTACTTCGGAGGACCGGTTCAGGCCCATCGGGTGGGCCGGTAAGAGTTTGTGCGCCGCACGTTTATTTTGACCCCGCAATAGAAGAAGAAGAAGAAGGATAGGAGAGGATGAGGTCATGGTCAGATCGATGCTCTTAAATTATTTAACAAGCCGTCCTTTAAATTTTGTGTTCGCTCGCGGATCGATCCGGTCGTTTAAGGACGATTTAGTCGAGAGCATGGTCGAACGTGACGACTGATTGCTTAGCCAATTCGAATTAGCGAAGAAGCTTCTCAAACCTCTCGGAGAGACGGAAGATTCGTGTTTTTTTGTGTCTCGAGATGAAGGGGAGAGAACTTTTGTTCGTTTAAGATCGTGTTTCGAGCAACATAAAATTCATCTTAAATCCCCGTAATACGAAAAGGGCAATATGAAAAGGGACGATAGCACTGCTTAAGATCGTGCAATCTATTATCGAGAAAAACACCACTTCGAGGGAAAGGCACAAAACGACAGATCGTATTCGACCATCTTTGATTGCTTACTCGTTGTTTAATTATTCAATGATGGGGTTTTCAAATCACAACTAGAATTTTCGAAAGCCACTTACGGTGCGTTGGTTTCACAGAAAATGAAAGATTTGGAAAAAAAAATTTCCTGAAAAGATCACTTGTGTTACTTAAAACAATTAATCAATGAAAAATATTTTCCGTTTGCTCGTTTTTGTAACCGATACAAGCGGTCAGTTTTAGGAAGATATTTTCCAAATCATTCATTTTCCGCTGAATAAACGGGACCTCTAATCGGTACCTTAAGGGCCCGTTTGGTAACGTGCCAAATAGTGAAAATTTCTGTTCTTTTGTTCTCAGAAATAGTTTGGGAACAAAAATGCATTTGTAAACTTTTTGTTCCCGGCACATTTTTGCAAATATTTGTGCGAGAACAGGTTTTGGAAGAGAAACAAGAAGTAAAAAAAGTTCTTCTTGTTTGCACATTTTGAGAATCGTTTTTTTTTTTTTTTTTTTTCTTTTCTTCTTTTTGTGTTGCTCTTCTTGGGTTGTGGCGGTCTGCGGCTGACCGGCTCCGGCCACGCCAGGGCCGGCGAGGGCGTCACGGCCCTCGGCGGCCGCCGGAGAGCGAGGTCCCCCTGCCGGCGAGGGCGAGGCTGGACCCTCGCCGCTCGGGCAAGGCGGCTCGCCGTCGGTCATGGCGAGGCCGAGCCTCTCCGTCGCGACCCATGGCGAGGTCGGCTTTGCCGTGGGTCGCGACGGCGAGGCTCGGCCTCGCCAGATCTGGGCAAGGCCGAGCCTCGCCATGACCGGACGGCGAGCCGCCTCGCCTAAGGGCGAGGGTCCGGCTCGCCCTCGCCGGCAGGGGGACCCTCGCCTCCGCGCGGCGGCCGGCGAGGCCGTGACGCCCTCGCCCGGCCTGGGCCGTGGCCGGCCGCCGTCGCGAGCGGCGACCATGGCCTGGGTAGAAAGAAAAAAAATAAACAATTCAAAATATTATTAATAAAAAGAAATTTGTGTGTAGTACAAACGCATTTGTTCTTTTCTATTCCGAAATAGAAATTTTGACATGATTTACCAAACTCCTTCAAATGCACAAAATTGTTTGACACGGAATGAAAAAAATCATTTACGTTGGAAATAGTTCGGCATGAAAATGGTATTCATGTGCACCCTAACAGAACCACTCTCTAGAGGAAAAATTAACAAATGGTAATTATTCGATCCTTCGCCTTGTTTTTCTTTGTCATATGCTAAATAAAAGGACTAATCACATTTTAGCAACATTTTCAACAAGTGACCTAAAATACCTCGACACCATATCACATACAACTTTAGGATATCTCATCTGGCTATTTCCGGAATCACCACACAAACTTTAGCAGATTCTAGAAATTGACTTTTGAGTACACAAGGAACCCAAAAAGCTCATCCTGGGTAACATCACAAGTCACTTCCTGTTTCCACCCCTCTTAAAGAAAGGAAAAAGAAAAAGGGCGCATCGTCCTAAATCAAGAAATTCTCTGCCCTCTCTGTCTTAATTAATTAATTCATTCATTTATTTCACAAATAAAGCATCAACATCTCACCCCCCAAAAATAAAAAATTAAATTTAAAAAAAATAAAAAGGGGAATTGATTGCACCGAAGTCCTCCTTCTGCAATCTTCACCACATTGGATGTTACACTTGGGCCGAAGTCCTCCCAAGCAGCACAAACCCTTTCTTTCATTTCACATTGAAAGCCTAAAGGAGTCCCTTCAGCCCCATCTTCCTTTCATCTTCCCCACTTCAATCAATGCCCTTTTCAATGTTTGCATCGGTGCATCAATTTCCACAACAGCGACACATCCCTCTCGCACCTCCACGACCTGGGATGATCCTTTTGCCATTCTGGTCCATTCATTTTGATGTCGGCCCAGGCTTCTTGGAGCCTAGGACTGATGTTATGTCAGCCCCTTGCAATTCCCACAAACA